ATCTAATGCTCCAAATGTAAGCTAAATTTCATGTATTTGCTTATAGTATACGGAATATTTATGCCAGCATAAATGTTTGCTTGAAAATGCAGCTGTGTAGCAGATGTTTGATGAACAAGATTCAGAATCTGCTGTTGAACAAATAGACCAAATGTTGGGTTTACAAAGCTGGTTAAGCTCTTGAGCACATGCTATAGAAATCAAGCGTGAGAGGGGTGTCTCCCCCCCCCCTTCCTTGTCTAACAAGTTGTATATACTGGCGTGGATCCAGAGAGCTATTTTTCAACAAGCCCAAGGGGATTGGACAGGCCCCATTGAATTTGGGACTTTTCTCTTAAATAAACAAACAAACCACAAATTCTCAAACTGGGTCACATGCTGCTTTTCAAGTTTTTGTTAGTTTCAAAAGCTGTCATTGTGTTGCATGGAGTTTGGGGGGAAATGGCACACATATAGCTTCCTTTTGATGTGCTGTTGAGTTCATTATCTTTTTGTGGGCATCCCAAAAGCTTCTGGTTTGGATACTATGGAAAATAGAAAACTAAATTACAGCGTGTTCTTATTATGTGTTTTTTTATGTGTACCATTTACCATTTCTTGGGATACTACATCTTGTCCCCTCCAAACCGTTATCCCAAGACAATGCCAAAAATACCAGTTATAAACAGCTGTTTTAGATGTAGATGTGTATATGTGCCTTCAGGTCACTTCGGTGACTTATGCCAAACTCACAAAGTTCGTATGGTTTTCTTTGGCATTTCTTGTTTTGATTATTCACGGATTTGAATAATACATTCTCTCTAGGAATCTTTACATTCTCCAGTGCAGTCAACTCTGCCAGAAGTGTGTGCTAGAGGATCTAGATTCCTAGAGAGAAAACACTCCTATAGGCATGTTGTTGAAGGCTTTAATGGCCAGAATCACTGGGTTGCTGTGAGCTTTCCAAGCTGTATGGCCATGTTCCAGAAGCATTCTCTCCTGACATTTCACCCACATCTATGGCAGGCATCCTCAGAGGTTGTGAGGTTTGTTGGAAATCAGGAAAATTAAGTTTCTATAACTGTGGAATGTCTAGAGTGGGAGAAAATCTGGCTACCAATATTAAAAAAACTCCAAAATCATAACAGTAAATAAAGAACAACACTCAAAAACAGGATAATTCTAGACAAGAAACAATCAGGGTCAGCAAATCACCTCCCAACAAAGGATTCCCCCAGGCAGTAAGAAGCCAGACTTTGAAACAGCTAGGCCATTAACTAGGCAATAGAGATTTATATATCTTTGAAATGCTCAGGGTGGGAGAAAGAACTCTTATCTGCTTGAGGCCCCCCAGCAGTAATCATCCAGGCTTTGCAGCTGCAAGGCCATTTAGTGCTAATCAAGGTAGCCAATTGCAACATTCACACTTGCCTCAAGCAGACAAGAGTTCTTTCTCCCACCCTGGACATTTCACAAATATATACATCTCACTTGCCTAGTTTCCAACAGACCTCACAATCTCTGAGGATATGGGCGAAATGTCAGGAGATAATGCTTCTGAAACATAGCCATACAGCCTGGAAAACTCACAGCAACCCACTCCTATAGACATTTGTACATCCTCCAGTATTATTCTGTGGTCAGCTCCTAGTGGAAGCTGACAATAGAGCCATTCTAGAGGACTTAAAGAATCATAGAGAGATTCTTAGTGTATTTATTCATGCTTTTTCCTGTTTTGAAGTGGTTCTGCGCCCTAACACCAACAAACGTGGAGGACTGACCAGTTGCTTGTTTAAAATAGCATTCTACGATCCAATGAGTACAATTAAATTGAAAAATCCCAAACAACTTGGTCTTGAATTTATAGTTCCACAAATCCACACAACCCTAAACACATTTTCACTTTCTCACGCATTCAGAGGGTATTTGTTTCCGGCATTTGGCACCATTGAGATATAGATTAGTTTTGTCCGACACAGAATTCCTTCTATAACTAATGCATTGAACGTTGAGCTACTATGTACAAAATATTAATCATTCAGAACAGAATAATGACAGCAATTCAAGTCAAGCTTCTTATCTAACAGGGCGGCTGTTAGATAATGGCTTAAAAATGAAATAATACTCAATCCCCGTCAGTGGACTTCCAAGAGAATTAGGCTGTGACCTTATCATTGCTGAAGTACAGGTTCTATAAGTCATACTGTATTTTTTCCATTCTAAGATGCCATTGATTGTAAGACACACTAATTTCCATACCAATGACAAAAAAGTAGCTGTGATTCTAAGACGCACCCCATTTTTATATGTTTATATGTGTCTTAGAATCCAATAAATAGAGTAGTTCCAGATTGCTCTCCAGCAATTGTAGAATTACTATGTGTATGTGCACAAATAAAAATGAGCCTGAATAGTGGGTGTTGAGTGTAGCATAGTTTCACATGCATAATTATGATGGTACACTGTGCTATATAGGATCTCTGCCATAGAGTGCATCTACAGTATTATTTACAGTATTTATATTCCACCCTTCTCACCCGGCAGGGGACTCAGGGCGGATTACAATGTACATATATACATGGCAAACATTCAATGCCATAGACACACAACATGTATAGACAGACACACAGAGGCTATTTAACATTCCAGCTTTTTCATGAAGGTATTCTGGCCACCAGGGGGAGCTGTCACTTCACCATCCATTTGTGACACTGATGAAGTACTTCCTCATTCTTTGCATGCTTGCTGGAGATTTTTATGGCATCATAAATTGACCTCCCCCCATAAGTGGTACCTAAATTTCCTACTTGACAGATGCAACTGTCTTTTGGGCTGCAAAGGTCGACAGCAAGCTACCCAAATTGATCGGAAGCTTACTCCGACTCTGGCTGGCTTCGAACTCACGATCTTTTGGTCAGTAGTAATCTTAATGCAGCTGACTCCCAGCCAGCTGCACCACAGTCACGGTGCAGTACAGTATTACACCAGTTTCATATCACTTCATCCAGTGAAATCCTGGTGAGACACTTAGAAAAATATGTTCTAATTCACTTTCCTGGACTACCAGCACCACAACACTGACTCTAGCAGAGCATTATAAGAATTATAGCTGTCTGCCAGAGATAGAGAACCATCAAAGTTAAATTAGGATCAACCTGCTGTAACTGTGTAATGTAGATAACAAGTACAGCAAAGTGATGGCCAGGAGGTTGCTAAAGCTCCATTTTTATTGTTTTATCCTGCTCCCACCCTCCCCTCCTTGTACATGCAATTTATACAGCAAAGAAGTTACATTAGAAATACTAATTTATGCAATGCTTTTGATACGAAATAAATAAATAAACATTTGAAATATCAATCTCAATCTTAATTTTTCCACTCCACATCTTAGCACATTATCTAAATCATTCCTAACCAGTTCCCACATCCACTTAATTATTGTAACCTTTTCAATTTTATCTATATTGTTCCGTTTGCAATTTGTTATTTACACATTTAACATATGAACAATATACTTATACCAATTTGTTAGAGTCCATTTTGCTAAAGCTCTATGGCCATATGTAGCCATGATAGAAGGGTGTATGCACCAACATGCACCCTTCTATGCCATTTTATATGGTTTTAATCTGTTTGATTGATTGGCATGTATTTTAATTGCTTTATATTTTGATGAGATGTGTTTAATTGTTTACCTGTGTGGCATTGAATTTTTGCCGGATTTGTAAGCCCCTTGAGTTTCCCCGAGGTTGAGAAAGGTAGGGTAATAAATAATAATAAATGACATACATGTATACTGAAGTTTTGCCAGTATAAACCATCACAGTTAAATTGGGATCAATCTGCTGTTACTGTGTAGTGTAGATAACAAGCACAGCAAAAACACCCATGGTCAGGAGCTTGCCCAATGTAGCCATGATAGGAGGGTGCATGTACCAACACATATGCGAATACTGAACATAGGCTTTCTAAAGTTTTGCCAGAATGTGCCACATAATGCTGCTAGAGCTGAGATATATACATCATGCTTGCAAAGTGGTTGGTGGGGAGGGAAGTGAATCTCTGTAAAATGAGCAACAAAAACAAAAAAAAGTCTGTGTAAAAAGAAATCTCTTGCTGAGAGTGAATGATTGAAAGCAGGTTTCAAAAGGCTGGGAACAAACTCTGCATGAATTGCGAGAGGAATGATTTAACCCTCCCACCCTTACCTCCACCTTTTTGCTCTCCTGTCGTTAGGTTACTTTCCGCACTCGGATCTATCACTGCAACATCAACAGTCAGGGAGTCATCTGTCTGGATATTCTGAAAGACAACTGGAGCCCTGCTTTGACTATTTCAAAGGTTTTGCTGTCTATTTGTTCCCTCTTGACAGACTGCAATCCTGGTAAGGCACTGATTTTTATTTTAAACCTGAAACAAGTGTTACTAATTATACATAGTGCAAACAGAGCTGAAACCACTGTTGCTTTTGGTTATCAAAAATGGTTCAAACATACAATTGATTGGGTAAACACAAAACATAATGCTTGCCAAATGTGGGGTCTCAAACCAGGATTGTTTAGCTTTCACGCTATTGCAGATCAGGGTTATGTTATCTTTACACTTTCAAACAGCAGGGATTTGCCATAAACTAACCATTGAACCATGTTGAACGGTAGAATATAAGTTAAATGAATGTTGTCATTCACAAAAGAACACTTTGTCCTGTCAATCTAGCATTTCCATTTTTGAGGAGAGCTTCAGCCTTTGCAGTCTGAAGTAGCCCCTCTTGGACTGTATACCATTTCTGATTTGCTGTGTTTTAGACCAGGGGTCCTCAAACTAAGATACCGCCCTCCAAGGTCATTTACCCGGCCCTTGCTCAGGGTCAACCTAAGTCTGAAACAACTTGAAAGCACACAACAACAACAACAACAACAACAACAACAATCCTATCTCATCAGCCAAAAGCAGGCCACCCTTCCTATTGAAATACTAATACATATATATTTGTTAAAATTGTTCTTCATTTTAATTATTGTATTGTTTTTAAGTGTTGTTGCACTACAAATAAGATATGTACAGGGTGCATAGGAATTCATTCATGTTTTTTTTTTTCTAATTATAATCCGGCCCTCCAACAGTTTGAGGGACTGTGACCTGGCCCTCTGTTTACAAAGTTTGAGGACCCCTGTTTTAGACTGATGACTGTGGTCCGGTGCTGCTCCATGAATGTTGCCTTCCACAGCGATTTTTCTGGAAAGAGAGTGAGCACAAATATGGTGTCAGTCCTTGGCATATTGAAGAAAAACCTCACATCAGATAGATTTAGAAACACTTATCTAGATTATATGAAGGGGAAAGATTTGTTTCAAGAGGTTTAAATTAGTCATGCTGAAGTTATGCCACACCAGAGCTGTCGGAGTACAGGAATCTTCCCAGTCAGCAATTGGAGATGATCACAAGGACTGGCAATAATGGAGGTGTGTGAAACGGCAGAAATACATTCTGCTTTCGTTCTGTTTTTGCCCCACCCCGATGGGCTCAAAGCCAACCTTAAAAACTCTGGCATTGACACTGAGAACTGGGAAGCCCTGACTCTTGAGCGCTCCAGCTGGAGGTCAGCTGTGACTAGCAGAGCTGTGGAATTTGAAGAGGCACAAATGGAGGGCGAAAGAGAGAAACATGCCAAGAGGAAGACAGGTCAAGCCAACCCCGACCAGGACTGCCTTCTACCTGGAAACCAATGCCATCACTGCAGGAGAACATGCAGATCAAAAATAGGGCTCCACAGTCATCTACGGACCCACCGCCAGCATACCAATCTTGGAAGACAATCCTACTCAGAGTACGAGGAATCGCCTAACAAGCCCCACCTCATCCTGGTCTGCTTTTGGGAAGATTTCAGGAGATTAGGATTCATAATTCAGGATCCAGAGTTCCGTTTCAGGAAGAATCTTCCCAAAAACAGAATTGGGGGGACGGGAGGACCTGAAATTCAAAACGGAATGAATTTCTGCCGTTTTACACATCCCTAGTGATAACTATAGAGGTTCTGCCTGCATGTGAGTCTTACTTCCATTTTAGTCTCAGGATTTATATGACCTGGGTCATAGCCATTTCAGTCCTCATCCCCCTTCTCTGCCTTGGAAGAATTATGAAGCTCCAGCTGATGTCAGGTTGCGCAGCTATATCCCCAGGTATTCCCTGGCCTATTAAAGACTATATCAGATGGAGGAAATCCAGTTCTCCATCCCAACATGGTTCCCATTCATTTTATAATGAACACTGTCTTGGATCCATAACTCAGCTAACACAGTGCCACCACGCAATTTTCCACCAGCTCCCTCTTCCCATTGCAGAGGGATTTATATATTGACTCTCCGAAAAAGATGGTTGGGGAGTATGCAAAATTACAGTGGGGAGGAGGTGGGAAATCCTTATCACATGAAGACATCTTCTCAGATAAACGCTAAAAATCCAATCCATTTGTTCTTAATGGGAATACTGCAATCTGCCAAAAAGAATATATAGCAAAATTAAAAAAAAAAACACCAGAGCAAAACATGCAAAATATGTGTTACCTTCAAATGTCAACCCAAAATAGCAGCTACTCAAATTATCAGGTTGTGGAACTGAACATGGTTAGCACTGCCAAGCTTTGCAAAATGACTCGATTCCTCTTATTGTGGTGGCAGGAAAATTCTCAACCTCACAACATAGGTGTCTGTCTGCAGGTCCCTCAAACAGACACTCCAAGGAAAAGTGAAACCATAGAGCTGAAAGTTCTCCACCTCTAGTGTAGACTAACGTATGCCATAAGCACACTCAAGGATCTCTTTAGTGGAGTTGTGTAGCAAAAGTGGAAAATGTGTGCAGAAAAAAATGAAGCGTGGTAAAGGTCATGTCTGTTAACAGACTGATTCCAAATGAACCATTTCTGTGTTTTTCAGTGTTTTTGTGAGTGATGGTCACTTGTTGATCTGATAGTTATATTGTGTCCAAATTTAGTATCAATTCATCCAGTGGTTTTTGAGTTATGTTAATCCCACAAATGAACATTATATTTTTATTTACCCCCTGCCATGGGTTTATTTACCCCCTGCCACGGGTTGCTGTGGCCAATCTGTGTATATGTTTTGTGTGTGTGTATATATATATTTGTGTATATGTGTGTTTGCGTGTATGTATATATGTGTGTGTGTGTGTGTGTGTGTGTGTGTGTGTGGTTTTGCGCATGCGTTGTAATGTATTTTGGGGTTTTTTTGGGGGGGTTGCTTTTAAAGTCTCTTTTGTTGTGTTTTTCAGTGTTTTTATGAGTGATAGTCACTCCTTGGCCTCATAGGTGTATTGCGTCCAAATTTTGTGTCAATTCGTCTCGGTTTTTTTAGTTATATTAATCCCACAAATGAACATTACATTTTTATTTATATAGATAGATGTTAATGGGCGGTGACCTCAGAATTACAAGATTAATGAGCCACTTCTGTGCATCAATTTGTAAAAATAAAAAGTGACGTCCAGTCAATATGGACTGAGGTCTTTTTTTAATGTCTAAAGGTCTATAGGTGTCTTGTGTCCAAATTTGGTGTCATTTCATCCAGTGGTTTCTGAGTTATGTTAATCCCACAAACAAACATTACATTTTTATTTATATAGATGGGCAGTGACCTCAGCATTACAAGATTAATAACCTACTTCAGGGCATCAATTTGTAAAAATAAGAAGTGATATCTAGTCAGTATGGGCTGAGGTCTTTTTTTTTAACATGATATAGTTTTAAGGTCTAAGGGCCCTTCCCCACAGCCCTGTATCCCAGAATATCAAGTCAGAAAATCCCACAATATCTGCTTTGAATTGGGTTATCTGTGACCACACTCAAATAATGTGGGATTTCCTGCCTTGACATTCTGGGATATAGAGCTGTGTGGAAGGTCCCCAAGTTATCTTTTCGAAAACTATTGTCAACAGTAGAATTTTCTAAGTATCTTTTATAATGGTGTTAAATTTTAATTTATGTCCTAACCTAATGTAAACACTGCTCTAGATGGATGAATATAAGGTGGGATTCTATCCTGTTTGCTGACTGTAAATATAGATTTGCTTTGACCACATCTCTTTGCCTTTTCTCCCCTGCTTTGCCACTCTCTGCTGAATCCTCACAGCTGATCCTCTGGTGGGAAGCATAGCCACTCAGTACCTGACCAACAGAGCCGAACATGACAGGATAGCCAGACAGTGGACCAAGAGATACGCAACATAAGCGACACCAACGACCTTGTGCAGTGCGAAGGTGCGGCAATGCAGCTTTGCGGTGTGCAACTAATCTTTATAGCCTTTACAATACGGACTTCTGTGTATATGTTATACTGATTCTACTCTCTGCTTTTATCCTTTTGAAGACTGGGATACGGCTTTCCTTCCCTTCTCCCTCCCCCCACCCCTTCCCCACCCCCCTCGAGATCTCCCCATCCGCCCCAAAAGGTAAAACGCTATCAAGAGTAGAACTTTGTAGCTGTAGATTAGTTATGTTTAAAATGCCTACTTGCAAGTCTTGCTTCTTTGGGATATCAAAATGTATTTTGTGATGTAACTAAGGATACCGTTCCTGAAGTCAACCAAATATTATAGTGCATTTTAGCCTAATTCATTATCTGTATGAAGTTATTAAAGGTAGCTGTAGATGACTAGGAATTACGTCATTTGTATTAAGCCCAGATCTATTTCCGATATGTGGTACATGCTGTTGTGAAAACTGTTTTAAACTTTTACCTTTGTCAGTTTGTAATGAAAGGGATTCCTTTTCTCCTCTCCTCCCTCCCCACCCCACCCTCCCCTCCCATCGCCACCTACTTTGTAGCTCCAAGAGCATCCAGTGTATCATCTCAAACACAATAAATATGTTCCCCAAGGAAGAGTTTCTCTGTTTTCCTATTTGACTTTGAGGTTGGAGCATACAGACATAGATCAGGATGTATGAGGGTTGAAAGAAAAGTAATGCCTCCACCTTCGTAACTCCCCAACAGATGGCAGTACTGGTATGCGGCAGGTACTGGCTTGTTCGGTAGACTCTCCTCTACAGTTCCATTTTGGCGGGAAGCCTTAGCATTGAATGGTTGTGTTGTTAAAGTGCAAAGTATGGACTCCTGCGCAGACAGTCGGTCAATGCGACTTAAGAAACATGCAGTCATTGAATTCTTGGCAGCAGAAGGTGTCACCCCAAAGGAGATTCATCAGAGAATGCAAGCAGTTTGTGCTGCTTGTGTTGATGTGTGTACTGTTTTCAAAGTGTTTTCACATTCAAAATGCTGGCTTTAGCCTATAAAGCCCTAAAAGGTTCTGGCCCTGCTTATCTGTCTGAACGTATCTCTCCCTACGAACCATCTAGGAATTTAAGATCTGAGAAGGCCCTACTTTCGGTCCTGCCATCTTCACAGGTTTGGCTGGCGGGGATGAGAGACAGGGCCTTCTCAGCGGTGGCCCCTCTGCTGTGGAATGCCCTCCCCAGGGACAGTAGATCGGCCCTCACCCTCTTAACGTTTCGTAAAAGAGTCAAAGCCTGGCTATTTGAGCAGGCTTTCCCAAATGCAGTGTAGCAGATAAGCTTTGATCTCGGAATGGCAGGACAACGCGACTGGATAATGATTTGGTAATGAAATGCGGAGGATTTATTGTTCTATTATGTTTTTATTGATGTTATTATTTAGTGATTTTTTATCAATGTTTAAATGTTTTAGCCATTTTTATATTATTATGGGCATCGAATTGTGCCGTTCTGTAAACCGCCATGAGTTGCCCCCGGGCTGAGAATGGCGGTATAGAAATATAGTAAAATAAATAAATAAATAATACTGTGCGTTGTTGGCTGAGTAAGTTTAAAGACATTGAGGTGACACCTTTTCTGTCAAGAATTCAATGACTGCACATTGACTGACCGTCTGCGCAGGGTTCCATACTTTGCACTTTAACAACACAACTGTTCGATGGCAAGGCTTCCCGCCAAAATGGAATTGTAGAGGAGAGTCTACTGAACAAGCTAGTACCTGCCGCATACCAGTACTGCCATCTGTTGAGGAGTTACAAAGGTAGAGAGGCATTACTTTTCATTCAACCCTCATAGGATTGGTTCCAGACAAATCCCTGTGGAAAAATAACATGCAGGAAGTCAGATCTCAATTCTAGACTGTATGTAGCTTAGACTTGCATCTTGCCTGGGATCAGGGCTTCTGAGAGCAAAACTTTGTGTGATGCGAAACATGGCCCTTCGAAGCAGGAGCGGGAAACCTGTGGCCCCAATGATGAAGAATTATGGGAGTGGCAATCCAACAACATCTAAAGGATCACAAGTAGTCCAGCCCTGAGGGACATTTCCTCATCTCACTCCATTTTAGGTCATGTTGGAATCACATCAAGTGAGAAAGATTTAAATCCAGAGTTTGGAAAGTTACCTTCTGGAGAATAAAAGTATATTTTCCAGACTGATGAAGCCAGCTATCCTGTGATCCCCTGAACTAACCCTTTTCTGTACCTGCTGTTTACCATTTTGAAACCCTGCATGCAAATGCCAGCAGCTCATCTAATGTCTTGTACTGTTTGACCCTCGGTTCTCCTTAAATGATCTGTGAGAAGGCTGTGGAGCTATTGGTGCTTAATGGCCTTCAGGCTTAGCACAACAAGGGAAGAGTAGAGATGGCTCTTTGCCAGACATACACTTAGGAACCCGAGAAGCTATTGATTTCTATTTGTCTAGGACACTCTTAGCACACTTATATACCCGGACAGGAAAACAGGGACGTGTACATAAGGATTTTTGTGTTTTTTAACCCTAAAAAAATTGAATGGAACTATCTATACAACCAGCTAATGGAATGGTTCCATATACCTCATTGCTAATTAATATTTGCTAAATGAGAAAACCAATGAAGGTAAAGGATCTTTGGGAATCCAATCTCATGCCCAGCTAGCTTGATATCCAATAGGATTTTGCCAGAAGTGTGGGAACTTTTTTTTTAGTACAGTCCCTCTTCAGAATAAGCAGTCATGGAGTTGCAGTCCCAGAAAACAATTTTGCCATATTCTGGATTTTACAAAATCAATATCACCTTGCCAAATAAGTGAGTTAATTGTTTGTTATGAGTTTTCCAGGCTGTATGTCCATGTTTCAGAAGTGTTCTCTCCTGACATTTCACCAGCATTTATGGCAGGCATGCTCAGAGGTTGTGAGGTCTGTTGGAAACCAGGAAAATGGAGTTTACATAACTGTGGAATGTCCAGAGAGGGAGAAAATCTAGCTGTCATTATTTTTAAAAAACTCCAAAATCATAACAGTAAATAAAGAACAACACTCAAAAACAGGGGAGTTCTAGATGAGAAACAATCAAGGCCAGCTAATCACCTCCCAACAAAGGATTTCCCCAGGCAGTAAGAAGCCAGACCTTGAAACTGCTAGGCAATTAACTAGGCAAGTGAGGTTTATATATCTTTGGAATGCCCAGAGTGGGGAAAAAAACTCTTGTCTGCTTGAGGCCCCCCAGGCAGCAGGCAGCCAGACTTTGAAGCTACAAGGCCATTAAATGCTAATCAAGGTAGCCAATTGCAACAGTCACACCTTCCTCAAACAGACAAAGAACAACATTCAAAAAACAAGGGAATTCAAGACAAGAAACAATCAGGGCCAGATAATCACCTCCCAACAAAGGATTTCCCCCAGCAGTAAGAAGCCAGACCTTGAAACTTCTAGGCCATTAAATGCTAATCAAGGTGGCCAATTGCAACATTCACAATTTCTTCAAGCAGACAAGAGTTCTTTCTCACACCCTGGACATTCCACAGATATATAAACCCCATTTTCCTAGTTTCCAAAAGACCTCAAAACCTCTGAATAAGCCTGCCACAGATGCAGGCAAAACATCAGGAGAGAATGCTTCCTGAACATGGCCATACAGCCTGGAAAGCTCACAGCAACCCTGTGATTCTGGCCACGAAAGCCTTAAATAATAAAGTGAGTTAATCTTTGCAAGCTTCAAACTTGTGGGCTCAATTTTGTTTGCTATAGATTTTGCCAGTATTTCCTTAACTTGAATCAGAGTATGGGGAGTTCCAAGCATTCGATATAGATTTAGAGTTTAAACCAACGTAATCAGGTTAGTGTTCCAAAACAGCAGGGCTGCGTCTTCTGTTTACTAGCCTCTCTCTGGATGCAATAAGTAGCATCCTATTGATCTGGAAATACAGCATGAAAGACAGAAGGAAACACTACCAAGACATAATGCAATTTTGTATGTAAATTTAATATAGCAGTTTGGAATACAATCTAGTGGGACGATGTGCACAACCCCTAATGGGATCTTCCATCAGCAGGACTCAGGGGAGCACATAAAACAATCTTACTTCGTAAGGAAGGCTGGATTCATAAGTTACTTTTACAGCATGATTTGGGCCCAGTCTTCTTCCTTCCTGCCCTGATTGATTTCACCTTGATGTTTACATCTTGTGAATAGCATAAATGGCAGTTGTGCTTTCCCCATCAGCGGCCCTTCTCTCTATGCTCAGGTTACTGATCCTGCCTTGGAAATGAGCCATGCAATCCAACATCCATTCGTCACCAATGCAAACGATGCCTCCAGTAGGATGATATCTGGACAGCCTTGAGGTCTAGCTACCTGGTTTATTTATTTTATGCTCCCTATAACCAAGTTTATAAAATGGAAAATCATACATTGATTTATGACTCTTAGGTCCTAAATTTTGTGCATTTTTAGTTATCTTATAACATTTTTTGGCCCAACAATTCTGTGTTTTACATTCATTGATTTTTAGATTTCAGTATTTTAATACCCAAGCCTCTCATATTACACAATTACAGCATTTGGACGCAACTTTATCTGCCATGGCCATGTCTTATGGAAGCCCAGGATATGTAGTTTGGGGCTCCTTCCACACAGCTGAATAAAATCCCACATTATCTACTTTGAACTGGGTTATATGGCCATGTGGACTCAGATAACCCAATTCAAAGCAGATATTGTGGGATTTTCCACCTTGATATTCTGGGTTATATGGCTGTGTGCAAGGGCCCTGGGAAAGCACTATAGCAGTGATTCTCAACCTGTGGGTCTCCAGGCGTTTTGGCCTACAACTCCCAGAAATCACAGACACTTTACCAGCTATTAGGATTTCTGGGAGTTGAAGGCCAAAACATCTGGGGACACTCCGGTTGAAAACCTCACTGCACTATAGCTTCTCACAGATAGATAATTTTGAATCCCTTATGAAAGATTCCATGACATGAACGCATGACAATTAAAGTGATATCAAAATGCTATTTTTTAACGTGGAAGGTTGTGCTACATAGTATGAGAAGTGCTACAAATGGCAAGTTACCCGTTTATCACTCAGGCAAAATCCCTTTTCTCTTGTTACTTGAGTGGGTTTCTCAACACCTTCGATCCTATTTTAGTTCCTGATTTTTTTTCACTATGTGATACAGTCAACCGCTTAGTACTTAGTTGGAAAACTCAGATATACTTATTATTGGAAATATCATTCCTAGAATCCCCCATTTAGTATATCTATTGGCTACTTCCAAAGTTTGGTTAACTAATAAACAATCTGCTGTTTCTCACTATAGCCTGGTTCTCACTGAAGTCAGCAAAGCTGTTTCTGGACTGTACTTTATTAATTTCCCAGGGTTTTTTTTCCTGTGTCAGGAGCGACTTGAGAAACTCCAAGTCACTTCTGATGTGAGAGAATTGGTCGTCTGCAAAGACGTTGCCTAGGGGATGCCTACAGGATGTTTTACTATCCTGTAAGAGGCCCTGGTGGCACAGTGGGTTAAAGCGCTGAGCTGCTGATCTTATTGCAGGTTCAATTCAGGGGAGCGGCGTGAGCATCCGCTGTCAGCCCTAGCTTCTGCCAACCTAGCAGTTCAAAAACATGCAAATGTGAGTAGATCAATAGGTACCGCTCCGGCGGGAAGGTAACGGCGCTCCATGCAGTCATGCCGGCCACATGACCTTGGAGGTGTCTATGGACAACGCTGGCTCTTCGGCTTAGAAATGGTGATGAGCACCACACCTCAGAGTCAGACATGACTGGACTTAATGTCAGGGGACAACCTTTACCATTACTTTTCTAGGAGGCTTCTCTCATGTCCCAGCACAGGAAGCTAGAGCAGACAGATGGGAGCTCAACCCACTCCCTGGATTTGAACCACCAACCTTTTGGTCAGCAGTCCTGCCGGCACAAGGGTTTAAACCAGAGGTCCTCAAACTAAGGCCCAGGGGCCGGATACGGCCTTCTAAGGTCATTTACCTGGCCTTCTTTCAGGGTCAACCTAAGTCTGAAACAACTTGAAAACACACAACAACAACAACAACAACAACAACAACAACAATTCTATCCCATCAGCCAAAAGCAGGTCCACACTTCCCATTGAAATACTGATAAGTTTATATTTGTTAAAATTGTTCTTCATTTTAATTATTGTGTTGTTTTCAAGTGTTTTTTGCACTACAAATAAGATATGTGCATTGTGCATAGGAATTCATTCTTCTTCTTTTTTTCAAATTATAATCCGGCCCTCCAAAAGTTTGAGGGTCTGTGACCTGGCCCTCTGTTTAAAACGTTTGAGTACCCCTGGTTTAAACCATTGCACCACCAGAGGCTCCCAGTAAAACCATTGTTATTTGAGTATTCCATCACGTAAAATAATAAATTCAAAGATCTTATCGCACCTTTGATACTAACTGAGAAAAAGAAATTCTCATGAGGCTGGAGCGATAACTAGAGTTGTAATGTGTTATGTTTTCAACACGCTCAATATGTTCAACAGTGACAATGGTTTCCTGGTTCGCCACACATGTTATAGCACTAGTGAACACCTTGGCCACATTGGGGCTTTTTTGGCCAGCTTTTCACATTTCCTTTCTGGTTCGCAGCCAGCACCGCTCTACATCCCAATTTTTCCCTTCACCATTCTTTAGGTTACATACTCAACCTGGTTTTATCTTTCCCCTCGCCTTTGTCCCCTAAGGACCATTGTGTGTGTGTGACTTCATCGCCATACCCACAAGTTTTGCATTTCCACTGCTATTCCCATGTACCACCTGCTCCTTCACAGCTCTATAGGTCTGTCCCAAGGCACTTCACTCCATGCATCTAAAGTAGACGTCCATCTGTGAAAGCTTATACTTCCAGCTTCTCTCAATTAGTCTCAAAGGTGCTACAAGACCCGTTTGCATATTGATAGTTTAGATGAGTATTGCTATGTCTTAAAAAATAAAATGCCTAAACTCAGAAGGAAGAGATCTAGTCCTGTCTTGTCCTTAACATGCTAGGTTTTACTTGGGCCGCTGCTGCTGTTGTTTCCTATGGAGGAGCCTTCAGCCATGCCATCTTCTATAATTTGTAATAATTTGTAAACATTCAGTTTTGCAACGGAGACAGGACATGGCTTTGAAAACATACCATGTAATCTGTAGGACATATTTGTCACATGCCCTTTACAGCAGGCACGGGCAAACTTTTGCCCTCCAGGTGTTTTGGACTTCAACTCCCACAATTCGGAATTGTGGAAGTTGAAGTCCAAAACACCTGGAGGGCAAAAGTTTGCCCGTGCCTGCTTTACAGTGACTGAAAAAGGATAGGAGGATGGGTTTTTACTACAACACTTAGGCCCCACCTACACTGCCATATAAAATACAGATTATCTGCTTTGAACTGGATTATATGGCAGTGTAGACTCATATAATCCAGTTCAAAGCAGATAATGTGGATTATCTGCTTTGATAATCTGGATTGTGTGACAGTGTAGAAGGGGACTCAGAGTCCCTGACTGCTGTGGCTTTTCTGGCAATTGTAGTTCAAAACCAAAACTTCTCAAAGTTCATGGACACTAATTTCAGGGAATAAAAATTACACTTTACTCACCCTTCATGGAGTTCAGGAATAAATTGTGAAAAATGAGAACAAGAAGTAAGTGTGAAAGGAAAGGGATTTTGCTGTCCCCATATGCTGGTCAAATTCATCCAACCTTTCACGTGTATAACACTCCCATAAATTTACAAATAAGGGGCAAAATGTCTGTTTTACATACGGAATACATGACTTACAAAGCTTTAAAATATTTGTATCACAACGTAGAATTTTAAAAATCTTACTCTTGTTTGTAATGTACTAATGTTTCCTATTGCACCTCAGAAACCTTGGTATATAAGTGGGATGCCTTCTCAATGCTTGCTCCTGTTTCCTTCTTTACTAAACATTTGATTATTGGATCTAATAGAGTCCCTCCCTATCATTGGTTTGTCACAACCTTCTTTTTAATGTAGGTTTTTTTTGTCTGTAAATTTTATATTGACTGAAGTAAGAGGTTGGGGATTTTTTTGTGTATACATTTAAACTTAAAATGGAAAAAAAAACTACATTACTTTTGTTTCTCTGCTTACACCGAGCGGTAGAAAGAAATTTGTATTGTTAAATAATAATAATAAATCAATTAGTTGTTAAATCATAATGTGTGCCTGTTTTCTTTGGGTATTCCTGGCTCTGAGTTTCTGTAAGCTTTTTTTTTGAAATGTGAAAGCCAAACTAAAACATGTTATATTCTCAGGAAGACAGAAAATGAGGTAACTACCATAATTATCCAAAGCCTACAAAAGGTCCTGGATGTCCACAGAAATCGAAGATGGGGAAACTGATCTTCCAGATGTTTTCACTGTAACTTTGACAGTGCCTACCTATCATGTTCACTGGCATTTCAAGGAATTGAAGTCCAAAATACCTGGAGAACCAAAGGTCTTCAACCATTGCTTTGAAGAATGTTCAACAGGCCAAATATTTTGTTGAAGGCTTTCATGGCTGGAATCACTGGGTTGTTGTAGGTTTTTCGGGCTGTATGGCCATGTTCTAGAAGCATTCTCTCCTGACGTTTTGCTTGCATCTATGGCAAGCATCCTCAGAGGTTGTGAGGTCACAGCCTCTGAGAGATGCTTGTCCTAGATGCAGGCAAAACGTCAGGAGAGAATGCTTCTAGAACATGGCCATATAGCCCGAAAAACCTACAACAACCCAGGCCAAATGTTTCTCCAGACCTGACATAAAAGTTGATGAAGCTACTAACACTAGTCACTACAGATCTGCATAGAAGCATCATAATGCAATGACATTCATTACTGGGAGCTTTAAGTTGAGTCAACATGAACTGAGTTTTGGAGAGGCAATTCCTGTTGGATTGGCCTACATGCAATGGACTTTGGGACTAAACAGGCTGCTAATATTTCCATGAGGTGGCTGGAATGCAAGGAGATATAGTGGTGTGGCATATTAATGCATCTGTTATGCAGTCTGGATTATTTGGTAGCCTTTTCCTAAGAAGTCAACATGTTACTATTCAAAGTAACTATAGATACTCTGTGGATGTATCTACAGATACACTATTCCCATAGATACACTAGGCTTGGTCCCCATGGAAGCTGCCCCGAGTCCCTTCGTGGAGATGGTGGTGGGATACAAAACTAAAATTATTATTGTATTTTATTATCAGGGCTCATAGATACACTGTGGATGAACTTATTGGGTTTTGGGTAGCCCTGCATGTTCAAACAAAATACACAGGGAACTGTTCCATCTGAATCCAATTAAATTTTGGGACGCTCCCTGCGGTCAGATGGTATCTCAGGCCTACTTCTTTCTCAGACTTCTGTATACATCCCAGTAACTACAACTCGCATATGTCAAGGTCTATTTTCCCCCAAGAGCGCCCCTGGGCAAAATCAACTATACAGCAAATTCTTACTTTGCGTAATGGGTTGAGCTGCCCCTGCCTTTGGGGGAACCAAACCAAGCCCTTTTGGGGGAGAAGTGGTCCCCTTGACAGAGACCTGGAGCTATTTACGAGACTTGCATAACTCACAATCTCTGAAGATGTGTGCCATAGAAGCAGGCGAAACGTCAGGAGAGAATGCTTCTAGAACATGGCCATACAGCCCGGAAAGCTTACAGCAACCCAGTGATTCCGGCCATGAAAGCCTTTGACACTAAAATTAGTTAATATTTGCAAGCTTCAAATTTGTGGGCTCCATTTCTTTTTCTGAAAAATCATAGGTCAGTGTTTTGAATCTTAAGGTTTTTTGCATGGGCACCCCTCACATTCGCATTGTATGTACAGATCTTACAAAATAGATATGACAAATGAGGCACAAACAAAATTTTGCACAGCCCTAGTCAACACGGGGCCATATAGCTCTTGATGGGCATGACCAAGGATTTTTTGCAAACAGACTACGAAGATATTCAGGGTCATGCAGCAAAATCAATTCGTGTTCTTTAGATTAACTTAAAAACACAAAATAAATCATGCATGCTTTTGAGCTCCACAGGCCTCATCAAGCAAGACGGTTAAAATCATGCAGATTCCCTTCTTCAACAGAACGCTCTCGAGTTTCAGGCAAAAATACATGATCTGGACACAAAACAAGTGAAAATAGAACATGTGAATCAGTCATGTTTTATTATGTGAACCTGTCAAAAATAAAGGAAAGGGGGCACTGATTCAACAGGCATTCTCCCAAATGATTCATTCCACTAGCAATTCAGCAGTTACGTAAGAAAGGAGTCATCTTAAAATTTATACAATATCTCAATCTCTATCATGTCTCTTTCTAGATAAATCAATTAGCTATTATGATCTGTGATGCTATTCCTGATGCATGCTTTAAAGCAGGCATGGGCAAACTTCGGCCTTCCGGGTGCTTTGGACTTCAACTTCTAGAGGTCTCAACTGCTTTGGCCAATGCTCAAGGATTCTGGAAACTCAAGTCATTGGTTTATGGCAACCCATGATTTTTCTAGGGTTTTCTAAGGCAAAGGTAGTTTTGTCAGTGCCTTCCTCTAAAATATAGTATTTTATTATTATTTCATATCCAAAGCATTGCATAAATTAGTATAATACGGATAAAAATAGAAGGAGCGCAGGTGGCTAAATATCTTGTGACCAAAAACAGGCAACAGCGACCGCATTGTTTGTAGCCTCCAACAATTCTTCCTTTGTAGATGAGGTAGGGCATAGTGGACACGCATACAGATGCAGAGTTGTCTGCTCTGCTCCACAGTCACACAAGGTGTGGGATTCTTTTAGGTAGTGCCATTTTGCCAGGTTGTCTTTTGATCTGCCCACTCCACATCTGAGTCTGATTATATATTACTGAAAGACTTTGCTATATATATATATATATATATATTACTGAAAGCAAAGTCTGTTTACTCATAAATTTGACATCCTCATGTCCTGCTTTTTCCTATGCCATGCAAATTGATTGACAGGCAAAATAATAAAACACAACACAAAACAACAATATTTAAATCACATCCAGGGGCATTTTCTTTTTTCTAAAACTATTCCATGCCAGTTATGGGATGGATGTTATGTGAAAGTTTAAAGGCCTCTAGACTGGTTTGTCTCAGGTTTTCCTTATCAATTGCCACTTTTGGGGAGGGGGGATTTTACCCAAAAATGACTGCTTCTCCACTAGATGTCAGTGTAACCTTGTTTTGCAAGAGACATCAGGAAGAATTTACAACCACATAATGACTGCATTTGATGGCCTTACTCTGCAATCAAACTTTTATTACTTTGGCTACATTTGTACTTAATGAGCAGGAGAAGAAGCCTTCGTCTCTTTGAGTTATAACCGCATCACACTAGAGAATGAATCCACTTTAAATCCGGTTTCTGCCTCCTGCAGAATTCTGGGGTTTGTAGTTTTGGGAGGAGCCTTTAACAGCCTCAGTAAACCACAAACCCCAGAATTCTACAGGAGGCAGAAACAGGATTTTGAGTGGATTCATTCTCTAGTGTGATTTATTTATTTTATTTATTTATCGTGTCAGGGCAACCAGTCGATTATATTACATTTCTAACAGAACAAAGCAAGCAAACAGACAAAATACAAATGTGTGAGTTTGGTAGTTGATTAAATGTCCTTTGACCATATCTGGCCACTTGGAGTGCATCTGGTGTCACTGTGAGAAGGTCCTCCATTGTGCATGTGGCAGGGCTCAGGTTGCATTGCAGCAGGTGGTCAGTGGTTTGCTCTTCTCCACACTCGCATGTCTAGTGTGATGAAGACAAGAAACGCTTGAGGTTTCCAGGTCCTGACACTGGAATGCAAAAAGACCATTCTTACTAGCTTACCTTCTAATCTTGACAAGATACAAAGACAAGGAAAGGCCTTTTTTTAAATTATAGCTCCCAAATTCCCCTGTTATCATGTTAGCAGCAGAGTTTTGGGAGCAGTAGTCCAACCACCATTACTACCACTTCCCTCTGCTGTAATAAAAGGCTGCATGCAGTTTCTCCAACCCAGGAGCCAACTTGCAAGGTGAGATTATTTTTTAAATAACTTCTATTCCTCCATGAGATGCTGGTCAGATTTTTCTGTTCTTGTTTTTTCTCTTTCTCTGCTTTTGTGATGCTTTTTTTAAAAAAAACATAAATGACAAAGTGCTGATAGAACCAGTGTTGCAGTACAATTCACTTTGGGTGCTTCCAGATAGTACTGAAATCTGCACAAAAGCGGATTTGTGTCCACACTCCCACCAAAAAAACCCCCCAAAAACCACAAGGCCTCTTCCAACTCAATGATTATATTTGTAGACTCAAATAATCCAGTTTAAAGAAGATAATCTGGATTATATGACAGTGTAGAAGGGGCCTCAGAGGCAGAGAATGAGTATGGTAGTCATCATTCCCCGCCATTATTTCACTATGCCAAAAAGCAATGTGTTTGTAAAAGGAATGTCTCCTCTTCAGAAACCAAACCTTGGGCTGTGATGTGTGCCCCGTAGGGTTTTAAAAACAGATATAGATAAATAGACAGACAGACAGACAGATGAGCATCCTTTACCTGGAATTCTAATATCCAAAATTGTCCTCATGCATGACGGAGATAGTGACACTTTTCTTTCCGATTGTTCAAGGTACATACACACACTTTGTTTCATGTTCTGCTTCCCATTCAAAACCTTTGTTTTCAGTGTGCTTGAGGACCTGGCAGTGCCTGGGTTATTTGAGAATGGCATTGTTTGTCTGTGCTTTAAGTTTAATCTAGAAAAAAATGTCAGCTGGGTTCAGTGGGTGCGGGTGAACTACAACTCCCACATGCAAGTCTCATTGCCCATGGTCCATCCTCCTCCAAACCGCACTAGGATGTAGAGTGGGTCATGGGGGCTCTGTGTGCCAAGTTTGGTCCAGGTCTTCATTTGTGGAGGTCATTGTGGGATCGGGGATTGAGTGAAGGTATTGCGAATCCCATCATCCATGGTCCATTCTCTTCCTGTGTGCACTAGCATGTGAATTGGGTCATGGGGGGGGGGGGTCTGTGTATCAAGTTTTGTCATTTTCCATCATTGGTGGAGGTCGCAGTGTTCTGTGGGAGCCCAACTGATTGAAATTACTGCAAATCCCATCATCCGTGGTCCATCCTCCCCTAAACCACACCAGGATTTAAAGTGGGC